GGTATTTTTTTAAATAGAGATTTTTAAATCTTCAAATTACCTAGCTTTGATTAGGTAATTTGAAGATTTGAAAATCTCTAAGCTTCACTCTTCTTGTTTTAAGGATTTTTTTTTAAAGGTGTTAAGTCTCACGATGATGCATTTGGAGAAAAAACAATTAGGATAATTACTTGTTTAGATGGCTTACAAGGTAATGCAAAGTCACATAGTATTATTACCTCTGGAAACTGACTGGCCTGCCATCTAATCAGATGGTGTTGCACACTGACCTCAGACTGGAAAAAACAACACAGAACCTGGTTAAATAAATCCATGACTTAACCTCCCCTGTAAAGCTGAGGATTAAAGAAAAAAAAAATTCAAATTGGTATCTTTACCAACAACGTGGGCATGGGTGACTGTACAAAAAGCACAGACTACACCCTGTGGACTTCCCTCTAATCTACAATCTCTGAATGACTGCAAAGGACTGTGTCTGCACCTCATTAACCACACTCTAAAAAAACTATTTTCATTTAATATTTACCTTGTCAAGCTGTTGTGTGGCATCCAGGCCTGGCACTGAGTGCAAGTTATTAAAACCATAGACAGAATTCACCCTTTGTCCTCCTTTAATCAGGCTTTGAAGAGGAACATGCACAGAACCTAAAGAAGAGTTGTTCTGACAGGAGGTTCCTGACCAGATCTAGACCACGTTGATGTTTCCTGTCTTTAGTCGTATCAAAAAATCAAAAACTAAATTGGCTTCAACCAAAACTTGAAGCCAATTTAGTTTTTGATTGAATAAGAGACAAACAAACAAATTGATTTTTACTTTAAGCAGGTGGAGACTTCCTCAAATCTACTTTAAACCTCCTTCACTTGGTACTGATTTTTTTAAAGACATTCATTTATTCATTCATCACAGATCCAATCACTGAATAGACCTCCTGTTTTTGATAAGTGCCTCTAACATCTATCTCTCCTTTCTTCTCTTTGACACCTTGCTGCTGGATCCTCGACAATAAAAAACGAACAATAACCAACATTATAAGTGAAAACATGCTCAAGCACACACACAAAGAGCAAAGGTACATAAGCAATAAAAAAAAAGGATCAATCCTTAGTTCTGAGGTACGGTGGTCCATCATCTATCGTAGGGTTTACGTTCCAAGACCGCCCACGATAGGAAAAAATGCAATAGTTATTATGTTATTTACGTATATATTAACCCTTTATGAACCCTTTAGCAGGCTTCGTAGGGCATGAAATATTGCAAAAAAACTTAACGAAACTTTCACAATCTGGTTTAACAATATCCACAAGTTGATCCTTGCAATACCCTATATGTATGCATTACAAAATGTCTTTTTTTTAACTATTTTTTACTGTTTCATTTCATCTTAGGCTAGAAAATGCTTATTTTATCACAAAAATAAAATAAAAAAATTTATATACCGCAAAAACCCGCAATAGAGTGAAAAATCCACAATACAAGAATACATTTAAAATATTAAAAATCTGCAATGCGACAGCTGAACCG